TTTTACTTTAATGTCACTTTAACCACTTCCAGGCCGCAGTACGTCTATAGACGGTGGCCCGCAGAAGTGGTTAAAACAAGAACACGGCTGCTCTTGGTACCGCTTTTAACAGCAGGCGATTGCTGTATGACTTACAACCAATCGCCTGCTGAGGACTACAAATCTCAGCAGTACTTTATACAGAAATGCTATTGTTATATAAAGTATTGCTGGGATGTGTAGTCCTCTATAGCCTGTGCCATTCTGTATTGCTGTAAATATTAGGGCTGCACCATATATTGGCCGCCAAAACATATTGGCCGAAAATGGCACTTTTGGCATAATGCCGAAAGTGCCATTTTTCTGCTGATACAGCGGTGCATCCGTGCTTTCTTTTTTTTCCCCACTGGACGCTGCTCTGTCTCCCAGCGGGGAGGAGAGAAAGTGACAGGCGGCCAAGCGCTGCGGAAGGAGAGCGCTGTGTTTGTGGGTTTTTTTGGGGGGGCCCAAAAAAAAATCTTGCACCAGGGCCCTTTGTTCCTTAGCTCTGCCACTGGTTCTGAACGTTTGTAATCTACAACAGAAATTGTTTCTGTTATTTCTGGCAATATGAGTTTGGATGTAGGAGATCTCTTCTGCTGTTGCTTCAAGTTTGCTGCCAAAGTGGATCCGTTTCGTGCTCCTTTCGTGCTATATAGATAGATACCATGTAAATCTACTTATAGGCATGAGATGACAGTCGCTTGATCGAAACATGTTCAGCAGTAGGCAAAGTCTACTAAGCAATGGTATACCAAAGAATGACTGAGAAGTGCCTCAGGGATCCTTGTCATTGTATGAATTATTGTTAGACACATTTTGTTTTGTTGTGTGACAGCAGATTAGAGATATTGTTATGTTTGTTTTTCCAGAGCGTCCAAAATATAAGGGTCCAAATCCTCCCCTAAACAGATTTAATATCTGGCCTGGGTACCGCTGGGATGGTGTTGACAGGTATGTAAGTTCATCTACAAATTTTTATGCAATCCATGTTCAACATTACTGACCCTATTAATTAGGGATGCACCGATACCGAGTATTTGGGTGAGTACTCGTACTCGCCGAAATGCTCCGATACTTATCCCGATACCTGGAACTTCCGGTCAGAGGGAGATTTCCTCCGACCAGCAGTGCCGCGGGGGAAATGGAGCCTGCTTCCAAACGAATCAGGAAGCCAGGCTGCGGGTAATGACTCGGCTCGCAGTTTCCTGATTGGCCGGGATGCCGGTTCCATGCTGATTGGCTGGGATGCCAGCTGGCCACTTCGGTAGCATGGAGTATACGGTACTTCCGGTAGCATGGAGCCGGCTTCCCGGGCAATCCAGAAGCCAGGCGCAGGTAATGACACGCTGCCCGTCTTCCTGATTGCCCAGGAAGGTGGCTCCATGCTACCGAAAGTACCGTATCGGCGAGTACCGAAAGATCTGGACCAGACAAATACCGGTCACAAAATCAGAGAGGCTGAGCTTGACGGGTGGCTTTTTCAAGTTTTATAAACTGTGTAACCTTGCTCTGTCTATCCCACCCTATCCTATCTGTTCTCTGGACTACAATCTCAATACATATTAGTAAACTAAACGTGAGCTTGAAGGGGTGGCTACTTTACAACACACATATAGGGGAACAAAATGGGGAACAAAAGTAGCTACTTTCCAAAAGGAAGGACAGCGTCAGCACGAATTCAAAGATGATTTGTGTTAATGTATTTTTAAGATTTACTCCTGAGTTTAGTGGCACTTTTTAAAATGGATGAACTTGTAAATACTCCTCAGCAGAATTTATTTTAGAAGATCTAAATTATAAATGTTACAAAGTGGCTTCCTTCTTCACACATTTTGTTTGTCCTGTAGGTCCAATGGATTTGAAAACAAGTATTTTGCTCGAATTTCGGAAAAGAAGGCTGTCCAGGAATCTGCATACAAGTGGAGTGTGGAAGATATGTGAACCCTGGCACACCTGTGTTTGGAACATTGACAGGAACATCCCAAAACGCTGTGA